AACGTTCTGAAAATAACCCAAGAATCTGGTTTTCGGATTAATGGGTCGAAGTCAAAGAATGGGATGCCGACGAGGATTTTACTTGGACACAAAGCTGGGAACGGAGAAGTCCAGACATGCCGAGATCCTTTTGGATGAAGGGATTAATGTTTCGATCAGTATGTTTTGATTGCGCATAAGAACATAATTGACAGTTTCTCCCTACAGCCAAAAAACAAACAATACCTCCCAGAGCAAATTACTATGCTCAAAATGGTAACTACTGCAAATGCACATCTACCATCGAACCATCCCATTATTTATCCTTTGTTCGTGAGGAAATTCCGAAGACTTGCGCAAAATGATGCATTATTTTGCATGTGTGCCAATTTATCGATAACGCTACAGTTATTTTAAACAAAGGTTTACCTCGTCCCAGCACCGCCTTTTGGAAGTATAACAGTAGTAGAAGTAGTAGTAGTAGAGGTGGTAGTGTTAGTAGTAGTATTAAAGCAGTGCTGAACTTCTTCAAACTCCAACTTGACATGATATGATACTCTCAAAATAAAACAACGGATTAGCAATAATAAAGTGTGAGTTGTCCAGAGGTCAACCACGGTAAGTTAAGTGGTCTTACTCCACAATTCATTTAAATGTGAGTCAATGGAAGAGATAATTAAATTTGTTCCTGCGTACGTGTAATTTGTTGAAGGAAACCCGTAGTTTGGTTCTCGCAATACCTTTTGTACTCTGCAAATTCTCATGTGAAAAAGTCAGTAGTAGTCATAGTATTGCTATAAATCCACGAATCCGGGGGCAAAATGAGGAATGATACATTGGATATACGCCATAACTGGATGGTAAATAGGGTCACGCAAAACGAAGCGTCTCATCAAGAACAGATTAGCAGTGTTTCCATGAAACCCTTAAGATCTGTGGCCCATCAGTCCAGCAGTCAGTTCGCACTACGATAGCTGAAATAATCAACCCACTCATTCATTCCAGAATGCAGTTTTATTGTTAAATATCATGAGAATACGGCACCCGCGTTCTTAGGCGGGCACGAGAATACTACTCACGTTGCTAGTGAGTAGCACTCCATCACTGTGGTAGTAAAAGGCATTATGATAATCTATGCTCAAATATATGTTCAATGGATTATGATATTCCTAAACAAAATCATTTTCAAACATGTTAATGCTTTCTGACAACAAAGCTTTTCAAATAATTCTTTCGAGATACCCCTGAATGAAGAATATGTTCCAATGATCTGGTGACAGATTTGAACTGTTTTTTGATGGAGGCGGAAATAAAACCTGCAGTTACGAATTTGAGGATTAGGCTTAGACTATAAAATGGTCCCGCGAAATTTGCGTGCATAAGGACATTCTTCTTTTATTACAAAGTTCTTCCTCAGACTGTGCGGAACAAGAAAGACCTTGGGGCAAATGAGTATCGAGATACTTGACAGACTTTAATCTGGGTATGGGTTGACATTTGAATACAAGCGAATGGAGACCATCGAAAGAAGCTCCTGATTATTCACCATGTAATGAGAGGCATTTGGAGTACGGGGCCAACATAATGACCAGTTTACAATTTTTATAAATTGATATATAAATATTTGAATGTGCTTCAGGACTGGACATAGGTGCAGTCGAGAAGAGGAGACACAATCGAAATGTGTTCAAAATCCATTGAACCGATATTGATCGGAAGAGATGAATACGGTGTACCATTGAAATGAGTGCGATTGTAAAATTGATCACACAGTTTTACTGCTATCTGAATCATCATTGTATTCAGACAAAACATTAGGTAGGACTGCTATGCGGAGGCAACCACAAATGCATTCGTGTAATATCTTTGCATGTGTTATCGAGCGCGGACTGATGAAGTGGGCCACATCGTTCATGATGGAGAGTGACTGCTTTTAAGTAAACTACAGTTAATCTCCTGCTTTGCCACATCCATGAGAAATCGCATTTTATAATGTTCCCATTTTTCAGAAAACCTTAGCCAACGGTTTACGCCACGACATGGGTCCTGACTATGTAATGTCACCTTTCAATATGCTGCATTTCTTGGTACGTTCTCGGTTTCTGACCGCCGTACGGGACGGCCACTGACGAACCAATATGTAATTCCGAATTCAGCCGCTGATGTATCACCTAGTGTGAGGCCGTTCACCAGTCAGATACCCCTGAGTGAAACGCACATAGACGCTAGCAAGCCAAGACATCCCTCCCACCATTACGCCCTCACACCAGTTCAACATCAAACCGAGTCGAACACAATGAGAACAAGGAAAACAGATTAATCAGTGGAGAGGAACACATGTTTAAACGAACTGGTACAAGTAAAACACTGCCACTACACAAGCACTGACGATGTCACCTCAGCTGGTGATGAAACGCTTGCAAACATGTGCCAAGCTCGGCGAATGGGCCAAATGGAAATCAGTTCACCGGAGCGACGAAAACCGATTTTCAGTACTTCGTCAACATAGTAACCGATGCTAATGGTACGGTCATCGTTTAATGGTTCTAAAGAAATCCATAGGCTCGGCGTGAAAGATAACGTGTGCTAACAATATTTACCCCAAGGTTTCGTACCAGTAGGTCTATTTCTTGTTCATGGTTGAAGTGAAATAGTGCTGTACAAAGTCCTCCATTTGTGCACTTATGGGGTTTTGTCATAATACGATTAGATGTTCCAATATGCTGAGAGAACGTTTTTGTCATCAATTTCGGGATCGGTTGATTTGGCTTCCAATAAAACATTTGTGTAAAGAAGTCACAAACTTTGGTTTTCATAATGTAATTAGGATCATTTCGCTGCAGCTGTACACTTGCATACTACAGGCATGCTGAGAAAACACCAAAAGTAGACAAATCAACAGTTTCCTAAACAAAAGTTCTTTTATAGTTGATATCCGAATGTGATGGCGTGAGTCAATAACTTTCAAATGGTTTAATCTGAGTCACGCTGTCACTCTAGTCTTTTTCTTCACTACCACCCGAATACGAGCGAAAACGGTGAAAGAATTACTGCCTCCTTCCGTGAAATCAAACTGCTTGTAGAAATTCAAGTATGTCCTAAGAAAGTGTTCGATAACGAAGTTTAATCTGTTACGTAATCTGTAACGGCAGTGAAACCGAAATGATCGGAGATTTCTACAGAACTAATATCTGCTCTTACCTCTGTTCAGGCTCACAATGATTGAACACGGTGAACACTAAGAACGAACAAACAGAAGAGTGGCAGGAAACACATGAGAATCCATACGAATCCATACGAACCTTGTGTGCCCCCTTCCCACATAGAGTGTGTACCTTTCATTGTGCCATTCTGTCCGTGCAACAATATACGTTCGTGCGCGATAGTCTTGTTCTCCCTTTGTGAGCATGTCTGACAGCGAGAGGTGTGGCCGAGTGTCGGTGGTAACGTGCGTTCAGTGCTATCATTTCCGAGCGTTCCCGAGGATCTCCTTCAAACGTGCTGTCTAATATCTGGATCAACGTCACAATCGACGGGTTATGAACAACTGAGATCTTCTATTATGCAACACCCTATTGAACAGCAGTACTATCAATCAAGCACACACATTTTGAACCATGTATAACAGAACAAAAACAAAGTTACTGAAATTTCCCGAGGCTCTGGCCACTGAAAATCTCAAACCTGATCTATGCGGACAACGTGAAAGTTTGGTCACATTAGCTTCACCTTGGTGATCGACCCCTCACTATCCTTGTTATTGTGTTGTATTGTCCGTCGTGATTAGGAATCTTGTATTTGTTTCACGTTTGTTATTTCACTGCCTATAAAAATCACTTTAACTACAGTATGCAAGTGCATAGATACTGCAAAATGATCATGGATTCATCGCGTAAACCCGGTTTTCTGACTGTACAATTCAAAGATGTGACGACAAGCCCTTTTCAGCTTCTGATATACCCTTGCAGCAGGTTATTTCAACAAACGAAGGGGAAGATCATTAAATATTGAGATGAATTGTTACCGCAGTAAATCAGTCAATGGAACAATGCAGCTTTTATCAGGTACAATATCTAAGTGAGGTCTCCAACATCCCATTGTTTTAGTATGCGATAATCTAAGCTGCCCGATGAGCATATGATGGTATTTGTCTGTTTAGTTGATTTGCGACGCAGTCGAGGGAGGGAGGGAGGGAGATGACAGTCAGTCACTACTGAAAACGTCTCATTTCTTCAGTCACACAGAATGTCCGTATGGTACACGTGAAATTATTTTCCTATTTCTACTCCCAGAAAAGATTAAAATGCTCTTGAAATCACTGTTACCGTTTGTCGGGTTTTTTGGCATAAGAAAACTGTGATCATTCTCACCCTCTCTTCTCATGTGAGTCCACCACCGAGCAGAGGAGTGAACTGCTCTCAACGGTGCAACCCCGTATATCGTTTACCGAAGGTCACCGATCCGATGTTTAAAAAAAAACATGTCAATCACCAGTTGTCCTGAGAACAATCTGCCAAGCGTACCCGGTGGATATGATTCAATTTCTTACCACCCGTATGATAACACAGCACCAGGAGTACTTGTTTTTGACAGGGTCAATTCTGTAGCTGAATCTCAGACAGTTTCTTTTTTGCCTTCAGTTTCAACGATTACCTGTCCTTCGTTACCCTTTCCTTATACGGGTTTGATTTTGAGTAAGTGATTGGGTGAGTGGATATCAACCCCTTAGTTATGCCTTTCTTTCTCTCAGCTGCTCTTCTCGGTCCGTTTACGACACACTGCTCATTCGTACATGATCAAGGTCAAGATATTTCCAAGTGATAATAGCTTCTTTAGATACTGTTGACGCTGGCTGAGGTCAATCGGACGCAGTTGACCATCCTAGTTCGTTTCAAGATGTTTTGCATAAGCACACAACGACATTTAACCTGGCAAACGTGCGCCCCTTTTTAAACCATATATATAGAAGTACCAACTGGCTGTCTTTCTGTCTTAATCCAATTGTTATTCGTTCAACAAAAATGATTCGCCCAACTGTAATGATTGCATTCCTCTTTCTGGTGCTGATTTTGACGGAGGAATCTGGTAAGTAGCAGGATTTATTTTCTTCATCGCGAGGTCAGTGATAAAGTTTGTTTTTCAAACTTTTTCAAAATCTTCGTCACTTTCCGATTTATTGTTCCGAGTGGACAATGCAGTGTGATGTTTTCGTCTGGTTAGTGGCCTATCTATGTCTGATATTGTTG